ATAAGGAAAGATTTAAGCTCATGAAAGATGTTTAGAAATTTCAAAAAAAAATGGAACAAACAAGATAAAAATGATTTATGTACCTTTTATTTTGAAAACAATTTGACTTTTTTTTCTGTTTATTATTATTATTATTATTATTATTATTATTATTATTTATCATGGGGTACTGATGAATCTACTGCTTAGATATATGATAATTTCAACATTATATTACTATGAATGTTAAAAATTTATAATGAAATATCAATGTTTTATATAAAAAATTAAGCTGACAACAGAAGAACAAAAACAAGTTGTGAATCATGGAATGTAGAACTATGAGGAAAGGTTTCAGTTGATTGGTGAAGACTAATAAATAAATATCTACTGCTTTTATTTTTATAAATGCTTAGCTGCTATTGAAGACTTCTATCTAGTTGAACAAATATGGTGTTTATGATGTTTTTATTTTCGGTAATGTTTTCACACATGATGAACATGTTGGAATCATATATTTTCTTAGCTAAATATGAATTACTAGTTAATTGTTCATGTTGATAAAAAAATTATTAAGAAAACTAATGTTTATCATAACTTTGACAATTGTGAATGTTTAAATTAAAAGAAAATGACTAAAGTATTAAGCTGCGAATTGAAATTTTGAAATTTAAAAAAAAAAAGATAAAATTTTTCAAAAACATTTGTATTAGTACTGATGAATCTACTGTTTACATATATGAGAATTTCAACATTACATTACAATGAATGTTAAAAATTTATAATGAAATATCAATGTTTTATATAAAAAATTAAATTGTATATAAAGGAATCTACAATCCATCTTTTATTTAAAATGTGATTTTTCTTAAATATATGTTATAGAATTTAAAATAATTTTAATGAACAATGTATATACTATTATTTTTATTGTAATCTTTTACATGATATATAAATTTTATTTTTTTAAATATTAAACTTTGAACAAATTATTTACTAATAATACTTAAAATATTTGAAACAAATACTTAAAAAAATTAATTGAAATGATATAATTAGGAAAAATTCAAAAATAGAACAAAATTTACAAAGACCAAAGTTGAAGAAATAATAAACGTTAAACTAAATAATTGTTAAAATACAAAAATATCAATATTGTAGTTATGTTAAAACAAAAAGAATCCAAATTATTATATTAATAAATGACATGTGCCACTTTTGTAAATAAAAAATTTATTAGGGTTTTACGGATTTGGGTAAATAACAAATAATAAAAAACTCTCATTAAAAGCTAATACCTATATTTATATAATATATTTTGTACTTTTCAAATAGAATATGGGTTATTCATGTAATACTAAAAAATAGAAAAAGGCGGTTGCAGCATAGTAATAATAAAGAACTCATCAGAAAACATCTCATCAAAAACCGACTAGTCTCATTCATTTCTTATCATAGCCCTGATTTACTTTTTTTCAAAAAAAAAAAAAAAAAAAAAAAAAAAAAAAAAAAAAAAAACTCACATTCAGAAACCTCCATTTCAAACACTCGATCTAAACAACATCGACCGATTCTTCAAAAATCAAGCAAAAGATGTCTTCAAAATCTAAAGGAACTACATCAACTACAGATTCTTCAGAAAAAACAATACCCAAAGAAGAAAAAAAGAAGAAAACCCTGGAGAAACAACAACTAGAAGCAAAAAAAGTTTCAAGTCTCAAATTGAAGATTTCGACAACAAAATCACAACATCTAACAATCAAAAATGTCGAAACGGAAAAACAAAGTGCTTCCGAAAGAATTTCTCCAAAAGCAAAACCTACATGGAAGATAAGAGTCAAAACGAACGAGAAGTAGTTTATTTCAAAACTTATAACAATGTTTAACGAAACATGCATTCTGTTTTATAATGTTCAAATAAATATAAAATACACTGTTACAAAAACATTTAAAACAAACGTCATCTTAATCTATGTTATTTTGTACATATATGATATGTTAAAAAGTGAACATATCATTACAAACTCAGATTTGATTTAATACAAATGAAAATGTTAAATTATTAGAAAAATATGTATATAAATGATTTTATTACAGGTTTAATGTTAAATGGTATATATGATTCTAATATATTTTAATATGATACTATTAGGTTGACTATAAATAATTTAATTAAACTGTGAATATAAAAATATAAATGTTATTTTCATATTTTAGAGAATGAAAATGTGTATATATGTTTTTTTAGAATGTGAATGTAAAAATTATATGTCATTTAAATATATTTAGAAAGATAAATATGAATGATGACTCATATTAGTATTTGACTGTATACATCAAATTATTAAACTGTGAATTTTAAAAAAATAAATGCATTCTATTATACTAAAAAATGAATTCAAATAATCAAAATGTATATTAATATTTAGTAATTGCAAAATTATGTAATTAAAATATATTAAACAATTAATATATGAATTGATGCAAGATATGCCATTTGCAGGAGAGAATACAACACCTGTAATGACAAAGAGTATAATCCAAAAGATTAAAGGATTGCCTGTTCATCAGTCAGAAGAAAAGAAACATTCTACAGTGGAAGGTAAAACATGATTATAAAAAAATATTTGAATTATAATAATATTCTACTTCATATGCTTTTTGGTTTTGATTTTTAATTGAATAACAGAAACAGATGTAAATAAACAAATTCAAAACATATTATTTGATCTTCAAAGAACAGAAGAAATGGAAAAAAAAAAAGGTAAAATAAAAATTAAACTATGAGAGTATAAATAATAGCTTACACTGTGAATGCACAATATGTACGTACATTTAAGGTGTGAATATATTTTTGTATATGTACATATGTATCTATGTACATATTTATGTATGTACATACATACATATATACATATGTATATTCACACTTTAAATGTATGTATCTACATACATACATATATACATATGTATATTCACAGTTTAAGTATATGTACATATGCATGTATGTACATATCTATGTATATATACACATATATGTATATTTATATACAAATGTATGTACATACATATGTAGATATGTATATATACATACGTATGCACGTATGTATGTACATACATACATATGTACATATGTATATGTATGAACTATGTATATTCGCAATCCAAATTTATATACATACATATGTAAATACATACATATGTATATTCACAATCTAAATTTATATACATACATATTTACATACATACATATGTATATTCACAGTTTAAATGTATGTATGTACATATGTACATACATTCATATGTATATTCACAGATTAAATGTATGTACATACGTACATATGTGCATATTTACATATGTATATCTATGTATGTACAAACATACATATGTACGTACATGGATATGTACATACAATGTAATTACATATATTTAAATATATTAAACATTCTATTCAAAAATGTTTCATTTTTTTAATAACCACTTAAACTGTGAATATACTTAAAATTCTTTTAAATTTATTTCGATTATACATATATACAAATTGTAGAATCAGACAATGGATCATCAGACAATGATAAGGACATGACAAAGGCATTGGTTGTTGTGGAAAACAAAGAAGAAGGAGATGCATATAATGACAAAATTCATGCAAAAATACCAACAAGGAAAATAAAGAGATGCAAAAAACAAGAAGAAGAACAAGGTCTGAAACATCTACCAAGAAAGATGAAGAAACACAATGTATAACAAAATTCATCAAAAAATATTTTTTGATAAACTATCTTATTAAATATTACTAAAATTTTAATATGTTTTATAGTTCAAAAATATACAAGGAAAAGAAACACAAGCACAAAGCAAGAAGATAGCACAGTATAAGATACCACAGAAGATGAAATTGAAGGTATTAACATATATAATATATATATATATATATATATATATATATATATATATATATGTTGATAGTACAGAAGATGAAATTGAAGGTATTAATATATATAATAATATATATATATATATATATAATATTATATAAAATATTTTTGTTAATACTTTTTTTTTAATCTTATTAGCAAAACCAAGAAAAAAAAGAGGTAGAAAAATAAATATAAACAAGATGATGATAATGATGATGAAAACTTCCCACCATTGAGAACAAGAGTGACAACAAAAGCATTGTACACTACTGGTAAATCTCTAAGCAGGGAACATAAAGAATGTTTAGAAACATTAGGTTTCAAGGCAATATCAGAAACATCACTTGATACAATTCCATCAGTTCTAGCACATTTTGTTGTTCAAAGATATAACCCTACTTCAAACTGCATTGATTTAAGGGACATACAACTGATGATAAATGAAGAAAAAATTCATCAGATCCTTGGAATACCAAAACAGGAATAGATTTATCTATTGTGAATGAGTGTGAGGAAGACAATGAGATTATTGTCCATTGGAAAGAACAACATCCTGATGTAACACAATCACAACAAACTCTTTGTGAACTTATAGAAGCCTCAGAAGTTGCAGATGAAATGTTTTTGTTAAATTTCATCACATTGTCTGTGAATACAATGATAGAGAAAAAATCTTGTGGATGTTTACAAACAAGCATTACAATGAAGATCGCAGCAATTGAAGACTGGAAAAATATAATTTGGTGCAAATATATTAGTGATGCATTGCCACATAATAGGACTTCATGGAAACCAATAAACAAAAGTGTCTACTACGTTGGGCCACTTACATTCTTGCTTGTAAGTAAAATTTAAATTAAATTGTATTGGATATCATCAAAGTGATTAAAATAAATAGCATTTTAATTTGTTACAAAATAATTCACAGCTTCTCTATCTGCATTCCACTGGTTTTCAAAACCAATACGTCAACCGAAAAATAAGACCAATATTCTACTGGAATTATGGAAAAATTAAATCAAGGTAAAACATTGAAAAAGCTCAATGTCAGTTAGGATTGGTCACATTGGTTGAGGATATTGATTTGATACAATACAAAGATGAAGAAGATGTTGACTTTGTTAAAGAAAAAGGAAAAGGAAAAACAAGTTGAAAAAGATGCAGATACAGAAGAAAATGATGACATTGGTGCAGAGGTAATAATGAAACTTACCCTATTAAGCTGTGAACTGAATATTAAGTTGTGAACTGATTTTTATAAAAATCTTCCTATAAACTAACAATAATTTAATACTTATTGCAGAACTATTGTCTTTTGATAGAAAGTGAGTTTAAAACCATTTTGGATTGTAGAAACAGAATTCAAAAAACATTGCGGCATGCACTTCAAAAATATCCAGATGATAGAGAACTATGTGGATGGTTTGAAAGATTTGTGAACATTGAAAAAATGTTTAACAAAAATATTGGCGAATCATCAAGAACAAGAGAAAAAGAAAATGAAAATGAGACAGGTGAAAAAGAGTTTGAACATCACTTAGAAACACAAAAAGGTGAAGAAAATGCTACAATAGAAACAGAATAAGATAATCCAAACTTTGAAGAAAATATGTCAAACACACCAAATATGGAGGCTGAACAAAAGGATTTTCTTACCAATAAATCTCAAGGAGAAGGTAATATGAAAAACAAAAATATAACTTAAAAACAAACTTAAATTTTCAATTAAAATGACTACTATACAATACATCTTACAAAAACAACAAACAACAAAGAAGAAAAGGGAAACGAAAAAAACATACTTGAAGAAAAGAATGATCAAGGAAAAGGAAAAGAAAAAGTTTATAAAAGATCAAAGAGGACAACAACTAAAATAGAGCCTTACCAATCACCTTACATGAGGCGGACAGTTAAAATGAGAAAAAAGTTAGAAGCTGTTGAGACAAGGATTTCAAAATCCATATTCTCACTACAAAAGGATCACAAGTAAGTGAATGGTTTTAATATAAATAATATTTAAAAACTTAATTAAATTTAATTGTATTAAGCTGTGAATAAAAATGTAAATATGAACAAAACTAAAATAAAAACAATTATTTTTAACTATTATTATTTTTTTCTTGATAAAAACAAACACTAATATCAGTATTCACAACTTAATGTTCACAACTTAATAAAATAAAATTTAATAATTTTATATTAATCAAACAGGGAAATAATATTTGAAACAAAACATGAGCATAAAGTAGAAAAGATATTTTTTGAAACATTAATACCAAGTGAATGGATCCACCCAAAAGTAATCGAATGTTGGTTGTTGTTATTGAATGATGAAGAGAAACGTAAAGCAAATACAACACCATTATGCTTCCACTTCCCAACAGGAATGGTGGTAAGAAATATTTTAAAATATAAGTATAAAATTTTAATATTGATATAAAATAACTAATGTTAATTTAATAAAATAACATTTTTATTTTTTCCAAGAGCAATGAAATGTTGGATAGGGATACAACATATGATAAGAGATTGGAAAAGTTTGAAGAAAAAATGAATGAAGCCATGAAGAACTACCACATCTGAAGGATTTTAAAAAATTTGGAATTATAAGAAAAAACTATTTATTACTTTTTATTATAATTATATTTTATATATGCAAATATTTATATTAAGGTATTAACAATTTCAACTATATTATTAATGCATATATTCTTCCCAATACCACACAAAAAGCACTACTACATCATTTGTTTTAATTTGCAAAAATGTAGTGTACATCTGATTGACAATGAAAAAACCACAAAAAGATATTGTGCATACTTATGGAATGTTGTCATATTATTTGGTGAGTATTAATTAATAACTTAGCAAAAAAATCAAATGTTTTCTATTAAATCCTAAACTGTGAATTTTATATCTTATTATCCTTACTGATAAATTTTTTGAATACAATTCAATTTCATGATATCGTACTTGATTGATAAAAAACACCCAAAAACAGACGATTTAATAAAGAAGAAAGTTGTGATTTTTAAACTGAAGTGGTGGACAGAAAACAACATGAACGACAATGGAGTTATGTTGATGAGACTTATGGAAACTTTCAAGGGACAAGGGCCAAATAACTGGGATTCTGAGATTGAAAAAGATCAAAAGCAGTAAAAAACACAATTAACAAAGCTTCGATCAAAATATGTTACAAAGATCTTGGTGAATGATATCAATATCCATAGCAACAAGATAACAGAAGAAAGTCTTGAGTTTGAAAAGCTGACAACAGAAGAAGAAAAACAAGTTGTGAATCATGGAATGCAGAACTATGAGGAAAGGTTCCAGTTGATTGGTGAAAACTAAAAAATAAATATCTAATATTATTAAGTAAAAACTAAAAGATAAAAATTTTCAAAATCTCTCAAATAGATCCTGCATCCATATTTTTGCCATTTGTACACATTTCTTTTTCTTTTGCTTGTCTTTCCAAACGCTCACATGACTTACTATTGTGACCAATAACATTTTGTTTGCATATGGAACAAAACCTTTTTTGTTTAATTGATTCAGTAATGGCTTTTTCTCTAGCTCCTTTCAACCTCTTACATGTACCACATCCTTTATTACTTATGTCATCTGAAGGGTTTCCAATATCATAAATAAATGGCTTCTTCACTCCATAGGATGACTCAACAAACTCAGAAATATCTTTTCTTTTCAACAATGAATCTAAACAACTTGACGCAGAACAAACATCATCAACTTTCAACTTTGCTTCTTTACTGAGCTCAAAAAACTCCTTAAGCTTATCCGCATCTTTACTCAAAATAGACACACTTTCTTCCACAAAACTCAAAACCTGACGAGAAAGAGAATAATATAACAATGATGATGATGATGAGGCCTCATCACTTGAATATTCCTTCATAAGAACCTCAGATGGAATTACACCTTTGCACAATATACCATACTGAAAGAACAATGAACAAGAGCATTCAAAACTTGATTCCTTTTTGTCATTAACAACTTGTCCAAAATAAACATAAACAAAAATATTAATAATTCACAACTTAAAATTTGAAAAACAAAAATTAAAAAAAATATATATAATTTACCTTGAAAAAAAAATTCTTTTCTGGAACAACAAATTCACACTCACTTTCTCAATCTTCTTCATTAACAACTTTTGGAGTAGACCCCGTAATATCTTTACGTTGCATAACAACAAATCTATCATAAAATTCTTCATTTGTAACACTGTGTTGCGAACATGAAAATACAGATTGTTCAATTTCTTTCTTCACTTTTATGAAAACTTCATTAGTATACATATCAGTAGCATGTTCCATAATTTTTAGTGAAATTTTACTTTTAATCTTGAAAATATTGCTAAGATGGTCTAAGAAACATTGATTATGTATTTGCCTGTCCATAACTGAATCAAAAGAAGCGAAGAACTTAACCAATGAATTACCCCAGTGAGCAACTTTGTTGAATACAAAATTCATGCTCTCTGACCTAGAAGTGGTCCTCATCAAACCAGACAATGACATGTCTCTAAAATATGCTGGAATCCAACTTTCTCTCATATCAAACATTTTCGAAAACCATGAAATCTCTTGGAGCTTATAATCTTCAATAAAACTTTTCCATCTAATATCAAAATCAGAAGCATCTATCCTAGAATTCCAAATCAGCTTATTGAAACGTTTCTTGAATTTCATATCATTAGAAAGTTCAGGAGATACCTAAAGAACACATGCATAAAAAACATATATAAGATAATAAACTATAAAAAGATGATATAATTATTAAAATAGTAATAACATATACAATAAAATTTATATAAAATGGTATTATTCACAACTTAAAAACATACTAAAAGGTGAATATTTAAAAATAAAAAAATAAACAAAAAAATTCACAACTTAATAAACATATAATAATTGGCATAATGAAAATGAACTAAAAATAATATAATTTAACAAAATTCAAATCATAAACAAAAAACATAAAAATTCACAACTTAACAAAAACAGATAACATTTTAAAAAAACAAAATATAACAACAAAAATATATAATGATGATATATACAAAATAAATAGTCTAAAAATTAAAAATACATACCTTAGAAGGCAAATTTTGGGTTATGTGCCACATACATAACCGATGACGTGAATCAGGAAATATTATCTCAATTGCAATTTTCATTGCTGCATCTTCATCAGTGAGAAAAACAGTAGGCTGTTTACCAAAAGTCTTCAAAAAAGTTTTAAGGAGCCATAAATAAGACTCTGTAGTTTCACTGCTCAAAAGATCAACTGCAAAAGTAACACTCTTTCTATGGTTATCAATTCCTGTGAAAGGAACAAATACCATACGATACCTAAAAAATAAATATATAACAAAAGTTAAATATAAAAACAACAAAAGAAAATAATATAAGAAAACAAAATATAAAAAAAATTACTTGTTCGTCCGAAAAGTAGCATCAAAAGAAACAACATCACCAAATTCTCTATAATTCGCCTTTGCAGCTTCATCAGCCCAAAAAAGTGAAACCAACTTTCCCTTATCACATATAAACTCAAATGTAAGGCTTGGATCCTCTATCATTTTATTTAAATACTTATCAACTACCATCTGTGCATCATCCTTTTCAATAAAACAATTCACTTTTCAAGATTGATTCTTGTAGTCAACAACAGTCCCTCCAACATTGTTTGAGCCTCTTAATTCTTGCATTATCCTGTATGCTTTCATTGGACCAATCTTTACCCTTCCCATCTTCTCAATGAATTCTTGAGCAGGATTGTCCAATTGTCTGTTAGACTTCAAGAAATGCCTATAATCTTCTGTAACAAAATCATGATTATGCCTTTCTTCAAATTCATATAGCTCAAAAACTTCTGAATTTCCTACTCTTCTAAATTTTGCAAAAGCTGGACATCCTTTCCATTTAATATTAGAATTTCTGTGAGCTTTATTTTTTTTTTTAGAATCAGTTGTGTCTACATAAACACTTTGAGGAAATCCCTCTCTACTGCACAACATAGATCGATGAGTAAGAACACGTGACTTATTGTTTAACTTTGTAGAACTTTTTCTTACATCAAAACCAGCTTTAGCAGCATAAGCCTTATACATATTTATTGCATCATCAACACTTAGATATTTGCTATACAACTTTGGCTTAACATCATCAACATTCTCAGGAATCTATATTTTACGAGTTCCACCAGGAGAGAAAAAATCAAAAAATATAGGTTGACCTAATAATAAAAATAAAAACATATATCAGCTTAACAAACACATACTATAAATAAATGAACAAAACAATTGAAAATTCTCAGTATAATTACAAATTGAAAATAAGATTAACATATATATTATACATTTACATGTAAAAACATCTACATAACCAAACAGAAGGAAACGAGATACCTGCTGTTGATTCACATTCGATTCCAATATCATCATCAGATTGAGCTTGAAACTGATCTAAAGATTGAACATTAAATTGATTTGTTCCTGATACGATTTGAACATTACTTTGAACACACATTGAATCGGACTAGAGAAAACGATGATACTTCACCTTGAAAGCAACTGAAATCAAATCGAACTATCGACGAACACTGCTCAATTTTGTCGATCAAATACCCTAATCTACTAGAATCACTTTTAGATAATGATTCCATATAAACTAAATCTATATGAAAATCTAACAATTTAAGATAATCGATTAACAGAATCGATCGATTCTATAAAAAGCAAAGATCACGAAATATGAATCACTGAAGAATCTTTGACGAATCTATGTAGAAAATAGACATCGACCATTCTCATTAAAAAATACATTTAATTAAACGTTTACTTTTGTTTGCATTTGTTAATTACTAAAATACCCTTACAAAAAAATAATGAAAAGTTTGAAATTGACAAAAAAAACATTTTAAACATTTCAATAACATATTTAATTAAAAGGTTCAATAATAAAAAATTTAATAATAACTTATAAATAAAAGGTTCTTAGGTTCTTAATCTTTTTTGGTTCTCTTTTGAACCTTTACCTATATATATATATATAATACGTGCTTATAATACTGTGACTAATTTAACATGGATGCTGCTATTATAATACTGTGACTAATTTAACATGGATGCTGCTATTAAGACACCCCTTAAACATCTTATAAACACTTTTATTAAAAATCAACCTATAATTAACTATTTACAATCATCTTTTTCAGAAAACAATATAATTTAAACGAATAAAAATACTTTAAAAACTATATAAAAACTATATAGATGTCTAAATTATAAATTTGGATTTCTTTTTAGCCTACCTGTTAAATACATATTTGTTAACGTTTAAATCACGTTTTGCAGATTTCGAGCATCAAGATTTTATTTCATCATCAACATCGTTAAATGTACATTCATCGATATTGTCTTTCATATATTCGGTGATTTGGCAGTTTAGACGATATCAAAAAATACGGATGCTCATTAAAGAGATCTCAAAGTTAACAACCCCTTTATGGAATGGCCGGTGAGGTGGTTCCAAAATTATCCACCTTGTTGAAGTGCTTTCTGACATCCAAACAATTGAAGCAACTTCATGGATTAATACTTGTTCATGGCCTTAATCATCTTGAGGGACTGGTAATCCGCCATCTTATAACCTCTCCATCCGATTACAATCAAGGTATTGCTCATTATCTTCGATTAATTCTTCGTCATTCAAAACAACCAGATGTGGCTTCTTCAAATTCTGTTATTCGGTATTTCTGCGACCATGGTGGGTTTCAAGAAGCCTTTGCTCAATACGTGGAGCTGCAAAGATCAGGTCTCTTACCTTCCACATTTGCTGTAGCATCTGCTTTGAAGGCATGTGCAAGGCTTGGTAATGGAAATGGCGGGATTATGATTCATGGTCAAGTCCATAGTCATGGGTTTTGTGGGGATGTTTACGTGGAGACTGCTCTACTTGGACTTTATAAAAGTGTTAACGACATGGAGACTGCAAAGAAGGTGTTCGATGAAATGTCTGAAAGAAATGTAGTGTCTTGGAATTCCATGATAGATGGGTATATAAGATCAGGGAATTTATCAATAGCTGAAGAGTTCTTTTCTGGAATGCCAAACAAGGATGTTGTTTCTTGGAATTCCATGATTTCAGGGTATTCAAGAACAAGAGATATGGAGAAGGCGTTACGTTTATTCCAAGAAATGCCTGAGAGAAATCCAACTTCATGGAATGTCATGCTCAGTGGTTATGTGGAGTCTGATAAAATAGATTTGGCACGAAACTTCTACAACTCAATGCCCCAAAGAAACACCATTTCTTGTATCACAATGATTGGTGGGTACTCAAAATGTGGAGATATCAAATCCGCACGTGAAGTATTCAATTGTATGTCTCAAAAAGATCAATTGCTGTATAATGCCATGATCACTTGTTACTCTAAAAACAGTCGACCAAAAGAAGCACTCCAGCTATTCGACAAAATGCTTCAACTAAAATCAAACATCCAACCAGACAAAATGACATTAGCTACTGTCATATCCGCTTGTTCCCAACTAGGAGACTTCACTTTCGGGTCTTGGATACATGACATTTACATGAAACAAATCAGCATCACCATGGATGATCACTTACGTACATCATTAATCGACTTATATTCCAAACATGGTTCCATCGATAAAGCCTTAAAACTGTTTCACGAGTTACACAAGAAAGACATCATTTCATACACAGCCATGATTTTGGGTTGTGGAAACAATGGGAAGGAACATATTGCCATCCAACTGTTTGATGAAATGATGGAGTCCAAAATCCGTCCAAATTTGGTTACATTTTCAGGAATACTAACCGCATTAAGTCATATTGGTAAGGTTGAAGAAAGTTACAAATGCTTCAATTCCATGAAAAGGTATGGACTTGTGCCTACACCTGACCATTACAGCCTCATGGTTGAAATTTTAGGCAGAGTAGGAAGGCTAGAGGAAGCTCACAACTTGATTAAGGGAATGCAAATGGAGCCACATTCTGGGGTTTGGGGTGCGTTGCTTCTTGGGTGTAGTATGCATGATAATGTTGAGTTGGGGGAAATTGCAGCAAAACATTGCTTTGAGTTGGAAAGTGATAGTAGTGGGTATGGTTCGCTTCTTGCTAATATTTATGCGGGTGTTGGGAGGTGGGAGGATGCTAAGAGATTGAGAAAACGTGTACATGAAAAGGGTTCGATTAAGGTACCAGGGAGTAGCTGGATGAATCATCTACAAGAATAAATTAAGGGGTTATTTCTTTTTGACTTAATGGGTTTAATAGGTTAAGTGATTGATCCGGACAATGATAACTATACCTAGTTGTTTATTTTTAACTTAATCTGGACATAATTGCTTAATAGGTTAAGCCAACAAGTCTGGCTTAATGTACTAAAACACGAACCTTTTACTTTGTCAATAGGTTAGCCGATCAATTTAATAGAAATAGTCATGTTTCTTAATGGAGCTAAACGGTCAATTTCGTTGGTAGGATGTCACTTAAAAGGGTCGTAACTTGGATGGCCTTTGGAGTGGCTTATTGCTTATTTATCACTTCAACTATATCTTGATTTTTCACTTTACCCCCCTCTAATATTAGAAATTTTTATTGAGTACACTTAAGTTTGTAAAATAATTGATGATTATAGATTGGGAATTTTCATCACATACACTTAATTTGTAAAATAATTGATGAATATAAAGAGAAAACAAATTGTCTGATTTTAAGTTTCTTTCTATATTTTTACATAATGTAACCAAATAATATTGGATGACTTTGACTTTGAATTTGAATTATAAGCAACTTAGAAAGGTCTATTTACGTTCAATTTTTTAATCTTTTTTGATTAAAGCTCAAGCCTCTATTCAATTCGGATTCGTTAAATGATATGCCTCGGTTATTCAAAGCAAGAGCAAGGCAAGATCGTATCATTACACTCTTTACCAAGGACTAAACTCGGTTATATTTTCTATTACATAAATTGTGTTGTTTTTTAGATTTTGACAAAAAAATAATAATTTAAACATCCTAATTTCCTTTCAAAAGTCATGTAAATGGGCATTTCACAAGTCAAGTCTAGATTGAGAAAAACATTAAAATATTTTTTTCGTCACTTATCTTCCTTTTAAACTGCATTCAAGAAAGAGAACATACCAGGGAGAACCTAAAAATTGAATATGCTGTGGTTTCGTTTTAATAGAAAGCAAGGGACCAAAATTAGAAAAAACCCAAAGCTGAAGGATCAATGATGAAAAAACATCTTGGAAAGTGAAATAAGAAGAGCCGCATAAGTGGTAATTCCTTTTAGCAAAGCATTTTTACCAAATCCAGGAAAGTTATGCTTTAATAACTTGTACATTATGCATTAAATACTCTATATTTGTTTGAAAAGAAACATTTTAGCTCTGGGGGAAAGTTACGCTTTGATAAAGCTCTGGAACTGCCAAGAATCGGTGCAAAAAAAGTGGATTTAGTGTGAGGGAGATTTCTGTGAAATCTCTACTCTTTTCTTCCAAGATTTGAGTGTTGCCGATTGATCGATTGGAGAGATAGAGGGAAAGAAGAATGGAGAAAGCTTTGATTAAAGTTGGCAGCATTAAAGCTGGTAGCTTTTGGGTTTCTAAAAAGGCCAAAGAAGAGATCTCCAACATTTCGCAAGATCTTTCGGTATTTACCCACACCCGATAGCTTATCAGTAATTCTAGGTTGATTTTGATCTTGGTTTGTTTGTTATACGTAATATTCAATTGATTCAAGTTGCTTAATTTTGATCTGGGTTTGGATAGAAACGTCAGTAAATTGATTACTAATTCAATTTGATTTTTATTGGTTTGTTCGTTATGTGCAATCGCAATGTAGGATCTGCATTGTTCTTGTTCTTACGTGTAGGTTTTTGTTGCTCTTCACAAATCATTGTCGATTAATCAAATGAGGAGATAAATTGAGGAATTATCTTGATCTTGATAAGGGTTAGAGATCTCCAATGAAATTGAGTATATATTTAATTGGGTTTGGGAATAATGTAGGATCCCTATCTAACAAAGAAAAAATATTCTTTGTTTCCCCGAGATAAAAGAAGGGGTGTTGCTAATAAGACACCCTTGGACACCCGACCACTTTTTAAAAAGTCAACCAATAATTAACTGCTTATAATCAGCTTTTTCGGAAAACAATGAAATTTCATCCAATAAAAATATTTAAAAAATTAATTAAGGTGTCCATATTGCAATAACAATGAAATTTCATCCAATAAAAATATTTAAAAAATTAATTAGGGTGTCCATATTGCAATATGGGGTGTCTTTTTAGCCAACCCCTAAAAGAAGAGATAGGAAATATGTCTTTACATTTGAATTTAAATTTTAAAGTAATAAGTCTATCTCAATTATGACACTTATGGAGAAAAGATTCTTAATAATTGGAACTATAATTTATTATGGAAGCTCCAATGAAATTGGTTACTTTGTTTTTGTGGAATGTAATTTATATATGAATTATTCATATTGCATAATCAACAATACATTTAAGAAAAAAAAAACATTTTGAATTGTCAAATTCTTTACAGAGTCTTGAAATGATCTGCATTCATGTTTGCAGACGCTCTCAAACACAGTGGAAAAGAAGGCGAAATGGGTATTCGACAAACTAAAAGGTATTAAACTCTTTGTAATTTGTGCACGTATATACTATACGTATCATTGTCGTATAAAAATAATTGATATTTCTTCATAGGCAAGTCTTCGAAACCATTGCCAGATTTCCTTAGAGAATACAACCTCCCTCCTGGATTATTCCCACAAAACATAACATGTTATGAGTTTGATGAGGCAAAGCTAAAACTCGTGGTGCATTTACCCTCTCCTTGTGAGGTTACCTTCAAGGATCAGTCTGTGATAAGGTACGCGACTCGAGTGAAAGGGCTTGTGTCAAGGGGAAAGTTGACTGTGATTGAAGGAATGAAGACAAAGGTGGTTGTTTGGGTGAAAGTATCGAGTGTGGTTGTGGAGAATTATAGGTCTGATAAAGTGTGGTTCACAGCTGGTGTGAAGAAATCACGGTCTAGAGATGCTTATGAGACGCCCCGTGATGCGATTAGAGTTGATGAATTTTGAAGGTCCACCATTCACATTTCACGAAAATAATTATTTTTTTGTTCTTGTGATGTTAATATTTGATGTGTATCAATCACATTGTTCATTGGTATCAAACTATCAATGGATCTTAACATGTTTTATGTTGTGTGTCAAGTTTGTTTAATGATGTTAGTGTGTCAAATTTGTTAATCGTTTTCCAAAGAAAATTAAAATCTTGATTTTAGAGAGTGTTTGCATGTCCTGGAAAAATGAGTTTTTGTATACTCCGTGGTATAAAAGTTAAGGTTTGTTTTGTTGGATGAAAAAAATAATAGTAAAATAGTTATTATATTTGGTTGGATGAAATAAAAAATAATGAAATAGTTATTATATTTTATATCATCTTTGAGGTAGTTTATTTTTAATGTAAAAAAATAAAAAATTTCTTAAAAAAGCGGTTATAGTTGCAACTTGCAAGGAATAACAATGGTGATAAGGTATTAAGGGGGTTAACTTTTTTAGTATAAAAGTGTTTTTTAAGAAAAATGCTTGTTAGCTTAGGAAAAACTGATTTTAAAAAGTGTTTAAACAAGAAAAGTTTTTTAAGAGTAAAATAGTTAAAAGTCTAAAAAGCTAGAATTTTTTGAAAATTTTACTTTTTCCTATCTAATAAGTTGTTTTAAAAAGTGTTTTTCAAATATATAAACATTTTTTTTAGCTTTTTAGCTTTTTGAAAAACTAAAAAGCTAATAAATTATTTTAAAAAGTTATGTCAAACACCCACTAACTATTGTAAACCACTATGCAAAAAGGAAACATATTAGTTAAAGAAACGACTCGTTGGTAAAGTTTTGCATACCACTATGTGAAAAATGGAAACTAATTACGAATTAAGTTGGGGCTAGCCCATTTGGTTAACATGGAGGTTTCTAATCTAACAATTAACTAGGAGGTCCTGGGCAGAAGAGATATTTAATTATTTGTCGTTTCAAAAAAAATTACGAATCAAATAGATATGCTGATATGGCGTGCATTTTTCCAAACCCAAGTGGATCTTAATGTAGTTCAATATTGGTTTTTTCATGACTAAACTGAAAGTTTATGTTTTAAATTAGTATCGATCTCATTACTTTTGCACCATCTTTAACTTGTCTTGCATGCAATAAAGAGGATGAATGTACCGATCATGTTTTAGTTAATGCGATTTTGCTAAAAGGTCGTGGAATGGGTTTTTAAGTGGTGCAACGTTCCCATGGAAGATTTTCAATCGGTTATTAATGTACTCGATTATGTAGCAAAATGGAAAAACATGTCCAAAACGGAGGAAGCTATTACTAAAAATTTGCTCACATTATGGTGTATTTGGAAAGCAAGGAACAACAAAATCTTTAAAAAGATTCGGTTATCACCCACTAAAACTGTAGACATCATCAAATCGTTGGTGTTCCTGTGGGTTAAAAACAGGAGTAACAAAGAAGATTTATACTGGACAGTCTGATCTCATTGCCCTTTTATTGGCATGTAATATTTGGTTTTCCTTTTTTGTTTTCTCTTATTTTTCATTTTATCTTTTTTTTGTTTCATTTCCCATTTCTAGCTCCTTACTACTGGGGTTTAGACTTCTGTTTTATTTTTATTATTAATATATTGATCGGTTCCAAAAAAAAATCAATCTCGTTACTTTTAGAAGTAAACATTTCTTGAAAAAGAATTATTACTTTGTTTTCTTCTTTTTGTTGCACCCGACTAGTTCCTCGCTAGTCGCAAGGTTGTTAATAATATTCATCTTTTCCAAAAATGAATACTTCTTGAAAAAACATCGATTTTTTAAATTTAATAACGATTAAACCAATTCAAGAAAACACAGTAAAAAATATTTCTTTTGTTAATACCAATGATGATGACATATTCAAAGCAATTAGTTGATTCAATATGTTGTTGTTGATACTATTATTTTTCCTTTTCTTTGATATTTTCATTTAAATTTCTTGCACTAACTTTCACAATTTGTAACTGTCATAAACAAGCCCTTATTATTATTATTTTTAGCTTTTTTAATTTATCGAAAAATGTATGATTTTCAATTAGCGTTATGACATGAATAGTTAGATCAAGTCTTTCAAGGTCGATCCTGCTACCAGCTTTATAAAAAGGGATAACAACTTAAAAAG